GAGACTCGTTCAGGAGACATCTGTAATGCCTGTGTTCTGCTTGTGAAAAGATGGAAGAAGTTACCAGCAGGTTCAAAAAAAAACTGGAATCATGTTAGTTCATCTATTTTTATCAGTTATATCTCATAATTTAAAGTAACATGAATTTCTTTCTAATTTAGGAAGTAATATGCCTAGGATGGCAAAGTTTGAAGAATAAAAAATAATACTACTTGCTGCTCAGATATATAATCATTTACCATGTTGATATGTTTGGAACAGAATAGCCAGGTGTGGCATTTCATAAGGCAGTATCCAATTCACAGTGCATATTCACATATCTTTTTTTTTTAAAGCTTTATTTTTTTTATATATATATATATTTTAGTTTTAGGTGGATATAATATCTTTATTTTATTTTTATGTGATGCTGAGAATCGAACCCGGTACCTCATGTATGCTAGGTGAATGCACTACCACTTGAGCCACATCCCCAGCCCCCATATTCACATATCTTAAGGCTTAACCTAGTACCCAGAGTTAGACATGGATTTTTTCTTTTAACTCTTAGAATAACGTGTATTTGAATTGAGGTTGGTACTAATGAGCATATAGGTTTAAGAATAAAACCTGGGGTTTGGATCTTTTACCACTTATAGTAGTTGTGGACTTTAGGCAGGTTATATTTATTTACAAAGGGCAAAACATAATAGTTATCACAGCTAATGTGAGAACAATGAGATGGTAATAAAGTGAAGCATATAATAATCAGTTAGATTGAAGTCGTTATTAATCTATTTAAATCTAGTTGTTCAAACTGGAAATTTTAGCCCTTTTATTTTCCCATGTCACTAGAACTTTTTTTGTGTGAGTGTGGTGCTGGGGATTGAACCCAGGGCCTTGTGCATGCAAGGCACATGTTATTACTCAAATATCTACCAACTGAGCTATATCCCCAACCCAGTTTTTTTAGTTTTTGATAAATTAGAACAACACAGTTAAATTTGTTTGGAGTCGCAGGGTCTGGCATACCCCAGGCAAGTGCTTTTTACTGTTGAGCTCCCCCTCAGCCCCAAGTCTTACTTAATATGATCTCTTTTCAGTTCCATGAAATTTCCGCAAAGTATTGTTTTTAAGTAGACAAGCATTTTTTCTTTATCTTTTCCTCTATTATCCTTAGTCTGTCTTTTGATGACAATGTTAAATTATTGTGATAGATTTTTTTTTGGATCTGTTAACCTTACTAACTATGAATTTTTCTTAAATAGTTCATCTGGAGAAGATTAAAATTCTGATTTTGAAGATGGCAACCTTTTTTGTGTGTGGGGAGGTTACTAGGAATTGAACTCGGGGGGACTTGACCATTGAGTCCCCAGTGCTATTTTTTATTTTACTTAGAGATAGGGTCTCACTGAGCTGCTTAGCACCTCGATAAATTGCTGAGGCTGGCTTTGAACTCTTGATCCTCCTGCCTCCACCTCCCGAGCCGCTGGGATTATAGGTGTGTTCCACTGCACACCACTCTTTTTTTTTTTCTTTAAAACTTTGAACTTTTTAAGTTGGAGATGGACATAAATATTTATTTAGTATTTTTTAAGTGATGCTGGGGATCGAATCCAGTGCCTTATGTTTGCTACACAAGTGGTCTACCACTGAGCCACACCGCAGCCTGACAACCTTCCTTTTTACATACATATCTGCAAGTAGTAAATGTGAATGAACACACAAGAAATAGGACCATAGTAGGACCATAGTAGAACCATCGTGGATAGATCAATGGCCAGGCTACATACAGGAGCATGTATTGCCTTTGCATAACTGACCTCAGGAATTCAACTATATAGTGAAAAGAACATGAAGAACAGATTTGAAGACCTTGATTTCAGTCTTGTCTTCTCTCTAATCACCTTGATTATTTATTTATTAGCTTAATGGAAAAAGGCAATATACATAATTTTCTTATTACCTTGATTTTCTTAAGACTAAAATTAGAGTAACAAAAAGAGCCCCCTTACTGCTTTGTGGTAGAATTAGAAATAAACGAAAGCTGTTTACATTGTTATACATCATCCTGTAGAATTGATTCTTGATTCTTCTTCACCTAGTTGGGTCATCTAGTAATGATTAACCCATAACATAAATCTATTAAATCTTCTTTTTCCCACAGACCCTGTGATTATTTCAAAGAAAAGAATTTAAAAACAAACACCCAATAGATAAATAGTATTCTTTATATTGTGTGATGATTAAAGATTCTCATGAATTCTCAGAAACATTTTGTAAAACTCTGGTTCTCAAATAGGCGTGGGTCTGAACCAAAGGGAACATATAACTCTTCAATGGTATTAAATATTCAGTGTTTTCTTCCAGGTGGTAGACGCAAGGGCAGGACCTAGTCTAAAGACTACTTTGAAACCAAAGAAAGTAAAAACTCTATCTGGAAACAGGATAAAAAGCAACCAGATCAGTAAACTGCAGAAGGAATTTAAACGTCACAATAAGTTTGATACTTGAACATTGGTACTGAGAGTAATTTTTCAGTTTTTATTTTTTTGTTGGGGGTGGTATATCGTATGTGTGGACAACTTTTCCCCATATTTCTTAACTGACTTGGTAGAGATCTTTATTTATGAATTTTTTGATTTTGATCTTAAAAATACTTTACTGAGCCACTTCAGATTGTACTGCTTTGATGTTTCTTTATAAATATCTTAGTTTTCTAGAAGGTGCATTTCTATTTTATGTATTTGATTTTTATGCAAAAGGAAATTGAATTTAGGAGGTATGCAAAAAATATTTACCATATTTTACTGTATAATTGTTGTAGGTTTCCTGGTGGTACCAGGGATTGAACTCAGAGTTACTCAAAACCACTGAGCCACATCCCCAGCCCCGTTTTGTATTTTATTTAGAGACACTGTCTCACCGAGTTGTTTAGTGCCTCGCTTTTGCTGAGGCTGGCTTTGATCTCATAATCATCCTGCCTCAGCCTCCTAAGCCCCGGGCTTTTTTTTTTTTTAAAGAGAGAGAGAGAGAGAGAGAGAGAATTTTTTAATATTTATTTTTTAGTTTTTGGCGGACACAACATCTTTGTATGTGGTGCTGAGGATCAAACCCAGGCTGCACGCATGCCAGGCGAGTGCGCTACCGCTTGAGCCACATCCCCAGCCCAAGCCACTGGGATTATAGGTGTGTGCCACTGGCCTGTCTTGTTGCAGATTTTATGCAAAATTTTTTTTTTAGAACTGTAGAGTGTGGGGGGGCTTTTATTTGTAGCTCAGTGGTATAGAGTGCTTACCTAGCATGTGTGAGGTGCTGGGTTAGATCCTCAGCACCACATAAAAAAATAAGGGGCTGGGATTGTGGCTGAATGGTACCATGCTTACCTAGCATGTGTGAGGCACTGGGTTTGATCCCTAACACCACATCAGCAAATTAAATAAACAAAATAAAGGTATTGTGTCCATCTACAACTTTAAAAAAATTTATAAAAACAAAAACAAACCAGTGGAGTGTGACTATTATGTGCAGCTCTTTTTTAAAAAAAATTCTGCTGTTATTACTCAAATTTTATCATTTATTATTGAACTTCTTTAGTGCAAGAGAAAGATGCTTGGAATGCTTGTGAATATACATTAAAACTGAGTAGTCCAAATCGACAAAGATCATTTCTTTGACAGTTTATTGAACATTTTTCTAATCTGAAAAAACTAAAAACATTAGTTCTTCAGGATTTGTGCATTATGGTTGAAATATTACACTTGAGAAAATTTTACAAAATTTGCAAAATATGAACTTAAAAAAATCTGTGTCCAAAGATTCTGCCACACTGTATTATTGGGTTTGTTATTTGATGGTGCTGTCCTCAGTGACACTTGTTTAGTACTGCAGCACTTATGAGCTTGTACAGACAATTCTAGGCTTGGCTTGCAGTGTCCACAAGGACAAATGTGCATCCATATGCCACTGGTGAATACTTTGCTGCTCTGTTTAATCTTTTAAGTGGCATGAAGAACAGGATTAATTATACCATGTGATGATTATGCAACCAAAGGTTATAAACCAATTTTTTGACTGAAAAATCAGAGTGCAACAATTATGCAGTAAAATATAGTAAGCCAGGCAAGGTACACAAGCCTTGTTTCCCCCTGGAAAATATCTGTTACTCACAAAATAACTGCTATTTGGGATATTGAGGCAAAAAGATCACAAGTTCAAGGCCAGCCTGGGCAATTTAGTGAGATGCTGTCTCAAAATTAAAAGGATTGGGGGTGTGGATCATTGATAGTGGGTCCCTGGGTTCAATCCCCAGTACTGCCTTAAAAAGACAATCTGAGAGCAAAGCCTGGATTCCTAGAAAGTAATTTTAGAAATTATAACCCACAAATTGAGTAATGCCTGTCTCCAGACTCTTAGGTTGAAAGTCATCTGTGTTGTGAGATTGTGAGATTACTATGAGTATCACGTCTGAGGGATGGTATTATGGTGGCATAACTGAAAGACAGTTAAGTTTAAACTATGAAAAGTAGGGAGTGAGGGAGAACTAATTTTTGACCACTTTTATACACTTTATATCTCTATTATTTCCATTTTATTACTTAGGTTAGGAAGCACAGAGAGGCTATTTCTTGATCCAGGTCAGTTAGTAAGTGATTGAGGTGAGTTTGACTTACAGGTTTGTCTTAACTTCAAAGTCCTGTGCTCCAAAGGGCAACTGTTTTTCCCTGGTAGCATAACAAGTGCTTCAGTACTTGATCTTTCCAGATCATTCTTAGTAGAGAGTGTTATACACAGTCTTCCTTTAGTTACTCTAATGATATATTTAATTTATGGTAGCTATTTTAATATATTAATAGTAAAACATTTAAGAAACATAACAGTATGTCTGTGTGTATGTGTTTTAATTATGTGTGTTCCTTTTTTTTTTAAACCAATTGTCATCTACCTTCCAAAAAAAAAAGAAGGTTTAATGTTGTTACCCTCCATTCTGACTAGATGTTTTAAAGAATATTTTGGAAATTGTAATATTCTTCTATCACTTGAAGGCAGAGGAATTGATTATTCACATGTATATTCTTAGCTTTTTTCCTTTAGTAATAGACACAGTAATATTACTTTGATCTTACCTAAGGAAATATGTCCATTGCACCTTAAAGAGTTTTAAGATAAAACTGGACTGTGTAGTGGTTGGAAACTGAAAGTAAATCCCTTTGATAAATAAGGTGTGTGAATATTCACAACTCAAACTGAAATAGGTTTTTCTTAGGTATATTGTGAATTACTAGATCCTGTATACATCATAACAAGTTTGGAGACAGTACATCGTGTATAGTCTGTATACTCCCTTTAAAAAAAAAAAGTACTGGGGATTGAACCCAGAGGCACTTCCACTGAGTACGTCTCTAGCCCTTTTTAAAGACAGGATCCCACAACTTTGAATCCTCCTGCCTCAGCCTCCTGAGTCTCCGGGATTACAGGTGTGTGCCACCATGCCCAGAAAAACATTGTTATGTGGTGTACTGGAAAGGCATTGGACCTAGAGCTTAAAGATTTGGGCATTTTGGCCCATATCTGTAATCCTATAATTTGGGATGCTGAAGTAGGAGGATTGCAAGTTTGAGGCCAGCCTCAGTAACTTAGTGAGACCCTTTAAATTTAAAGCAATTTAGTGAGGCCCTTTCTCAAATTAAAAAATAAAATTAGAAAAAAAAGGGCTGGGAGCAGCTTAAGAGGCTGAGGTAGGAGGATCATAAGTTGAAAGCCAGCCTCAGCAATTTAGTCAGCCCCTAAGAAACTCAGTAACACCTTGTCTCTAAATAAAATATAAAAAGGGCTAGGAATGTGATTCTGTGGTTGAGTGCCCTTGGGTTCAATCCTTGAAGGTCTGGGGATGTGGTTCAATGGTAAAGTACCCCTGAGTTCAATCTGCAGTACCAACTGAAAAGAAATTACAGTTCTTATCATTAAGCAATGGCTTACTTTGGAGTCAATTAACATTTATCTACAATATTCTAATTGGAGAAATGGGGATAATTGCATTAAAAAAGGGTTTTGTAAGACACACAGTCTTAGCTTCCTTCTTTTGTGGTGCTGGGGATTTGAACCAAGGGCCTTGTGCATATGAGGCAAGCACTCTACCAACTGAGCTATATCTCTAGCCCATTCACTATCTTTTATTATTTATTTATTTTTGGTATGGTGGATTGAACTGGGGGGTGCTTTAACATTAAACTACATCCCCACTTTTTATTTTGGGACAGTGTCTTGCTAATTTGCTGAGGCTGACTTGCAATTCTCAGAACTTGCAGTTCTCTGACTCTGCTCCTGTGTTGTTGGGATTTACAGGCATATGCCTGAGTAACACCTGACTTAGCTATTTTTTGGGAGGGTAGGGTTGAATTCACAGGCGCTTAAACACTGAATCACATCCCTAACCTTTTTTTTTTTTAATGAATTTTAAAAAATATTTTTTAGTTGTCAATGGACCTTTATTTTTTTATTTACTTATATGTGGTGCTGAGAATTGAACCCAGTGCCTCACACTCTACCATTGTGCAAAATCCCAGTACCCTCAGCTCTTTTTATTTATTTATTTTTAAATTTTGAGTCAGGGCTTTCTGTGGTCCTGACTCTATAGTTTTTAACTTTGTGATCCTTGTCCATCAGCCTCTTGTTTAAAAAAAATATATATATAATTTTACTTGTAGATGGACATAATACCTTTATTATAAAATTTATGGTGCTGGGGATCTGAACCCAGTGCTTCATGCATGCTAGATAAGCGCTCTACCATGAGCCACAGTCCCATCCCTTCCATCAGCCTCTTTGAGCCACTGGGATTATAGGCTTGCCACCACTATGCCTGGCTCGCTATTCTTTTTATGACATCCTTTTCAAAATCTACACTGATTTCTGATTGTGATAGAATAAATGTTCCCTAAAAAGTCTTTGGAGGTCCTATTTTAGTAAAAGCATATTTGAGCTAAATCAGTTTCTCAGTTTCTGTAGCACATAGTGGCTTTCCATATTACCTTTACCTAACTTACGCTTTTTTTTTTTTTTTGGAGATGGGGTCTCAGTGTGTTGCTAAGGCTGGCCTTGAGCTCAGATCTTTCAACCTCAGCCTCCTGAGCAGCTGGGTTTATACAGGCGTATACCACTATTCCCAGCTAACCTCATGTTACCTTAATCACTCCTTTGTACCTTTTTAAATCTTACCTAATTTTAAAGACTTTTAAGATTGCAGTTATTTGAAGAATTTCCAGATTTACATTCTAGAAGAACTCTTCATTGTGTTCAAATGTACTTCCCAGAGTTTGAGATTAAACCATAAGACATGGTTTCTATAGGTTAAAGAAAACAGGGTAATCCGGCTTACGTGGTGCATACCTGTAGATAGCCTTAGTCAGCTACCTGAGAGGTTGAGAGGTAGGAGGATTGCAGGTTCAGCAGTTTAGCGAGGCCCTAAGCAATTTAGGGTCTATCTCAAAATTTAAAAAAAATAAAAATAAAAATGGCAAATAACTGGATTTTCAAATACTTTGAAGATGTTAAGCACTTCCTAGGACAGTGAGCTTTCCTCAGTAGTGTAGAGCTGACTACTAAGGTTAATTATGTGGAAAGTCTTTTTTTAATATTTTTTAGGTGTGGTTAGACACAATATCTTTATTTTATTTTAAATCTTTTTTTTTTTTTTTTTAAATATTCTTTCAGTTCTAGATGGACACAACATCTTTATTTTTACGTGGTGCAGAGGATCGAATCCAGGGCCTCACGCCTACAAGGCAGGCACTCTACCACTGAGCCCCAGCCCCAGCCCACCTTTATTTTTATTTATTTTTATGTGGTGCTGATGATCGAACCCAGGGACTTGCTAGGCTGGTGCTCAAGAACTGAGCCACAACTCCAGCCCCATATTTGGAAAGTTTTTAATTCTCCTGTACTTATTCCTTTGAAGCTTTCTGTCTTTAAGGATTTTGTAAGTTTTTTTTTTATGACCTTGAATGCTATTTACACTGGAAATAAATTAATGTATTAAAAACACTCATGGTACTTTTTAGATACATAGTCTTATGCTATTTTATGTAAATGCTTATTAATACAAACTTGAGCTCTTTAGTATCCTTTATTTTTCACTCATGTAGCATATAACAGGGTTTTGTACTTAATAAATGCTTAATAAATATTTGATTGGTTTTGTGAATTATAGAATTATAGAATTATTCTGTTCATTTGTCCTGGGAGCAGGGAGTTTTTAGTTAAAAGGTTGTGTTAAATTCCACTCTTTATTATGATATTGGCTGTGATATAGCAGAACTGTATGTAGCTTTTTGTCATAGTGAGTATCAAACAAAAGATTTGTTTTCTGGCATGTTTATGTGATGACTTTTGAGGGCAAAAATATTGGTCAGGTTTAGTTCTGCATCTAATAAATTGCCTTTATTCCTTAGAAAATCAGGATCTATTGGTTTTCCCTAATAGGTAAAGTGTTTTTCTGTAGCTCATTTCTTTCTTCCTTCTTTTTTTTTTCTCTTTCCTTTCTTTTCTCCTATTCTTCCAGGACTTAAACAGTAGGGTTTTTTGGTTTTTGTTGTTGTTATTGTTACAGTCTCAGAGCATCATTTGTTTTCACTGTGTTCAGATTTGGTAATTTTTGTTCTTTCTTCTGTTAACTGTTTAGGTTTCTTTGTCCTCTCTGTTGTTGAGCCTGTTTACTGAGCCTATCCCTTGCCACTTTGCACAAGGGATTGAGCCCAGATGAATTTTTTATGTTGATACAGGGTCACTTTAAGTTGCTGAGGCTTTCTTTCTTTCTTTCTTTCTTTTTTTTTTTTAAAGATAGAGTGAGAGAGGAGAGAGAGAGAGAGAGAGAGAGAATTTTTTAATATTTGTTTTTTAGTTATCGGCGGACACATCTTTGTTTGTTTGTGGTGCTGAGGATCGAACCCGGGCCGCACGCATGCCAGGCGAGCGCGCTACCGCTTGGGCCACTTCCCCAGCCCTGCTGAGGCTTTCTTGACCTTGAGATCCTCCTGCCTCAGCCTCCACAGTACTAGGGTTATAGGTATGTGCCATTGGCCTGGCTTATGTTTTCATTTGTTTTAAACATTTTCATGATTGCTTATTTAAATGTTTTTTCTTATGGATGCTTTAAAATCTTCATTAGAAGCCAGGTGCAGAGGTGTATGACTGTAATCCCAGCGGCTGGGGAGGTTGAGGCAGAAGGATCATGAGTTCAAACTCAGTCTCAGCAAAATCCAGGCTGCTTAAGTCAGTGAGATCCTGTCTCAAAATGTGAAATAGGTTGGGGATGTGGCTCCAGTGACCCTGAGTTCAATCCCTGCCCCCCGCCCCAGAGGAGTGGGAATCTTCATCAGATAATTCTAACATCTATCTTTTTGGCATGTCTTTTCATTTGGTTGGAATCTTTGTGGGTTTTGGTATGATGTGATTTTTGGTTGAATCTTGGACATTTTCGGCTTATATTGTTAGACTTTGAATCTTATTTAAATTTTACGTTTTTTGGACACTTGCATCAGGGCAAGGGGGATGGGATGCTATCACCATGTTATTGCTACTTTTTTTAGAAGTCAGATACCTCAGTCACCATTGACAGGTGAGGGCAAAGATTCCTTGTTATTAGTGTGGGGAAGCAAAGCAGGATTTGTAGGACTTTTACGTGGTAAGGTAGCTTTTTTCTTAGTGAAAGTCCTGGCTTTTCACTGGGCTTCCTCTGGCACCTGGTGGAGATATTGGTGCCTCAAAGCAATTTAATGAAGGTGGAAATCTAGGTTCCCTGCTTACTCTTTGCTTGGAGTGGTGGGCAGTGGCCACCAGTGTGCTGCTGGAGATAATCATTATTGTCTGATAAAAGAAAACTGTCTTAATTGCGTTTTTCCTGGTCCTTTGACTAGAGAGAGCTGGCTTTTATTGAATCCTGTGTTTTTTTTGGCGTGGGGGACGGTAGGGGAGTCATCTATGCACTTTGTTGTTTTTGGTTTGCTGAAGCTTCACTTCCAAATTTGAGGTGAAAAGAAAATCCAGTAAAAGTAGGTAATTCATGACTGTGTCATTCATTCCTTGGGCCCCAAGCTGCATATATGGTCATCACCTTTCAGAGTTTTAGGTTAGTTTTATATGTAATGCACAGGTTTTTACTTCTATAAGCAGGAGGAACAGAGAAAAATATATGCATTCCATCTTCTTGGAAGCAGACATTCTCATAAAAATTATTGCAGTGCAAACATCTTTAAATATCAGTAGTGTAAAAAATAAGTCTTTTTTTTTTTTACCTTCTTTTGCCAATTTAGTCTTAAGTCTTCGTTATGTCCCTGATTTAGAATTTCTTGATTGTATGATAGTGTGAAAACAATATGTATTTAATAAAAGCATTACTTCAGATTTTGAATCTTTTCTCAAGCTAGCTATGTATACAGTATGATTCCCTTAAAATGCTGGGCAGCCACAGCAAACAGTAGCTTCCAATCAGCTATACAGTCAAGCGGGAAACAGCTATGTTTAGTAGGCTAAGGTGTATTGAATACATTTTTTAAAAAATATTTATTTTTTAGTTTTAGGTGGACACAATATCTTTATTTTACATTTATGTGGTGCTGAGAATCGAACCCAGGGTCTCATGCATGCTAGGCAAGCACTCTACCACTGAGCCACAATCCCAGCCCCTTGAACACATTTTTTTTTTTTTAATATTTTTTTAGTTGTAGATGAACACAATGTCTTTATATGTGGTGCTGAGGATCAAACACAGTACCTCACATGTGCAAGGCAAGCACTCTACCCTGGAGCTACAGCCCCACCCCAATCACATTTTGTATGTAGCATTACTTACAGTGGGCCTATTTGTAACTAACACAATTTGAAGTTGAACAGCATCACTAGTTGCATTTACATGTAATGAAATTAACTGTTTTTTCTTTTTATTGCAGATTCTGATGCTCACAGTACCACCTCAAGTGCCTCCCCAGCTCAATCTCCTTGTTATAGTAACCAGTCAGATGATGGCTCAGATACAGAAATGGCTTCTGGCTCTAATAGAACACCAGTTTTTTCCTTTTTAGATCTTACTTACTGGAAAAGGTAAATGCAACAGAAAATCTCTTTTTCTTTTTTCTTTTCTTTTAAAAAATATTTATTTATTTATTTATTTTTATTTTTCGGCAGACACTATTTTTTTTTATGTGGTGCTGAGGATCGAATCTGGGCCGCACGCATGCTAGGCGAGCGTGCTACCGCTTGAGTCACATCCTCAGCCCAGAAAAATCTCTTTTCAATCAGCACCCATCTTAATTACAAGAAGCATTTTCCCACTTAACAACTTTTGTCACCAAAAAACCCTCCAAAACCACAGCTACTAGACATATAATTTTAAAAAGTTCCTTTTTAAAGTCTTTTAAAATGTCATTAATGGGTGGGTAAGTTAATAAAGAATATCCAGGACAAATGCTAAGTGAATGTGTGGCCCCAAAGCCCAAAAAAAGAGAAAGTAGATAGGGATTGTTTTTTTTTTTTTTTTTAGGATGCAAGAAATAAACAAAAGGCAAGATTTTCATCTGTAGACATTGAGTAGTGAAACTACAGACAAAATACAACTGTAGGGAGTGAGAACACATTATTTTCAAAGGAACACGTTAAGAAGCATAGATTAAAAAAAGGCAAGAAAACAGTAGATTAATATCTTCAGTGGACCAAGAGATAATACTTCTTGATCTAAAATTATATATGTAAAAATATCTTTTGTGACAAAGCTAATGAGACATCCTCCCTCCCCCCAATACTTTATTTGGTTTATTTAGTTTTATGTGGTGCTGGGAATCAAACCCAGAGCCTCACACATGCTAGGCAAGTGCTCTAATCTGAGCTATAACCCCAGCCCCTCATGAGACATTTTGACTAAGAAAAAAAATTGGAGCTTGCCAGCAAGCTGATCCTCACAGAAGTAGAAGGAAAGAGATTCCGCATTGAGGTTCTGGGAGGAAAGAAGGATAAATAAATTTAATAAACATCTAGGTAAATTTGAACACTTTACAAGGACAGTAGTTGTAATAGTGAAGAAATCCATGATAATTATAGCATTTTAACTTGATAGAGCTGGTAGGAAGTATCTAAATGTTCTTTGCCTTTTGATAATAAGACTGAATAACTGTTTAGAATTTGATAAATTAATTGTGTAATCACTAAAAGAATAAAAAAGTATAAGACCTCCAAAGAAAAATGGAGGAGGCAGGAATTATAGAATAAGAGTAGTTCCCTACCCAAAAGTTTGCAAAACAGAAAAGACATAAATCACAACTGGGACAAAAAGTATAGTAGAAATACAGTACATATAGGGCTGGGATATATCATTGTTAGAACTTAAAAAAATGAAACTAAAAATGCAGATGGAGAAGTATTGTCTTTTTTTAATGTGTATTTTTTGGTTGCAGTTGGATACAATACCTTTTTTTTTTAAACATTTTTTTAATATTTATATTTTAGTTATCAGCGGTGCTGAGGATCGAACCTGGGCGGCACGAATGCCAGGCGAGCACACTACCGCTTGAGCCACATCCCCCAGCCTAATACCTTTGTTTTATTTATTTATTTTTATGTAGTGCTGAGGATTTAACCCAGGACATCGCACACGCCAGACGAGCATTTTACGGCTGAGCCACAACCCCAGCCCCATATTGTCTTTGATTGCTAAAAAAGGAAGACTTGGGCTGGGGTTGTGGCTCAGTTGTAGAGTGCTCCCTTAGCACAGGAGAGGCTCTGGGTTCGATCCTCGGCACCACATTTAAAAAAAGAATAAATGAAACAAAAGTATTGTGTCCAACTATAATTAAAAATAAATATTTTTTAATTTTTTAATTTTTAAATTTTTTAATATTTATTTTTTAGTTTTTCGGCGCACACAACATCTTTGTTTGTATGTGGTGCTGAGGATGGAACCCAGGCCGCACGCATGCCAGGCGAGTGCGCTGCCGCTTAAGCCACATCTCCAGCCCCAAAATAAATATTTTTTTTTAAAAAAGGAAGACTTAAAAATGAAGAACCTGATATGTATCTAACATAAAAGCCAATACAACTATATATATAATAAACGGGAATCCCAAAGATGAGAGTAGAAGATTGGAGATGTAGCTCAGTGGTACAGCACTTGCCTAGTGTGTGAAGTCATGAATTTGATCCCCAGCATTGGAGGGTGGAAGGGGGAAGACCAGAAATAAATAGGATAGAAAGGTGATATACAGATGAGAGAATTAGTAGGTTTTCAAAAAGGTTCTTGTGAAAAAAATTAACTGGAGATGAAGTGCATCAAGAAAAAGAACATACACAAGCAATTTTAGGGAAGAAAAAAAGAGGCTTAGATGAAGTAGAAATTTAAAAGATTAAAAGTAATTATGAACAGCTTTGCCAATAAATTAAACTTTTGTAATGTGGACACATTACTAGAAAAATCTAACCAAGTCTGTCTCAAGAAAAACTTGAATTTTCTTGAGACAGAAATAAATCAATAAACATTGATTCAGTGGTCAAGTCTCCTCCCAAGCCGATAGCGGTGACACATGCCTATGATCCCATTGGCTTGGGAGGCCAAGGCAGGAAGAGCACAAGTTCAAATCAGCCTCAGCAACTTACTGTGATACTGTCCCTCCCCCACCCACCATCCCCCACCAAAAAAAGCGGTAGATGGGGGTTTGCTGGGATGTGGCTCAGTGAATAAGTGTTCCTAGGTTCAATTAAGACAGAGGGAGAGACTTCCCTCAAAGAAATCCTGGGCCCTGAGTGGCAAGTTCTACTAAACAATCAAATGATTGTAATCTTGTACTGACTTTTCCAGTCTGTGGATATGGGTAGAAGAAAGCATAAGCCTCAAACTTTTATAAAGTCAATATAACTTTGATACCGTAAATTACCAGACTACATATATTTTGGGGATGTAAAAGAAAATCAACAAATATAACTTACATTAACAGTTTCTGAATGAGGGAGGGTGTCATTTTAGTGACACAGAGAAGGTTTTGACAAATGCAAACATTTCTTTAAATTTTAAAACAAAACATAAAACAGGCATAGAAGAGAACTCAGTTACCTAGATAATGGGTATATTAAAAAAAGTACAGCCGGGCTGGGGATGTGGCTCAAGCGGTAGCGCGCTCACCTGGCATGCGTGCGGCCCGGGTTCGATCCTCAGCACCACATACAAACAAAGATGTTGTGTCCGCCAAGAACTAAAAAATAAATATTAAAATTCTCTCTCTCTCTCTCTCTGTCTCCTCTCTCACTCTCTCTAAAAAAAAAAAAAAAAGTACAGCCAACATCATACTTAATTGATAAAATGAAAGCATTTTCTCTTCAGATTAGGAATAAATCAAGGAATGTTTACTGTTACAGGAGGTTAGCAAATTCAGTAGCTATGGATGATGTCGTGATTGTTGGTTAGTGGTAGTAACAGTAGTGACAGCAGTAGTAAACACTTGGAACAGTGCTTTATAGGTGGTTTGCATATATTATTTCATTTAATCCTTAAAACGGTTGAAGGATGCATTTTATGGAAACAGGTAGAAAGGAAGTAATTTATTTAAGGTTACACATTACTGTGTGTTTGACTTACGTCAAACAGAATTTAAGCCACGGCAGTTTTGTGTTAGAATATCATTAGAAAATTTTTTAAAACCTAGTAGTAAATAAATAAATAAAACCTAGCGGGAAATATAGAACCCTTTATGTAGAAAATATCTAAAAATCATATACATTATTGAATAACATTTTATTTATTTTTAAAATTTTTTTTTCGTCGGTGATAGATCTTTATTATTTATATGTGGTGCTGAGAATCGAACCCATTGCCTCACACATGCCAGGCAAATGTGGTACCGCTGAACTCCAGCCCCAGCCCCTGAATAACATTTTAAATAACTAACGAGGCATGCCACATTCATGGTTTTAGTAAAACTGAGAGGATGTGGTTTTGTAGCCTGCATGAGTTCCTGGGTTCAATTTCTAGTAGAAGGAAGGAAGGAAGAGGATATATAATACATTTGCCAAAGGATTAGTACGTTCAATACATGAACAACTCCTGTGAAAGGAAGTATAAGACAAACGAACAGAAAACTGGGCACAGGCCTTGGTATTAAACAAATGAAATAGCTCATTAAATGAAAACATGTTAAAAAGTTTGATAATCAAGGAAATATAAATTAAAATTGCATTTTTTACCCATTATTGTTAAAAATAGAATAAAATCTGTTGTCAAGTGTTGACGAAGAATTGAAATGTTGATTATGGTATAAATAGTTCTAACCACATTGATTAATAAATTGGCATTTTTGAGTAAAGGTGAAGATAATCCCATTCCTATATCCTAGCAACATGACCTAGAAAACTTTAGGCGATATACCCTGGCAAGTACAGCAGTGTTTGTAATAGTAAAGAGTGGATAAATAAAACTTGTATGTTCACATGTTGGAATATTATCTAAATTATTTTATTTTAAGTCAAGTCCCCTAACTACATGTGAATCTCAGTTACTCAATGTTGAGCAAAAACTTGAAGAATATGTTGTGTGGGTGGGTGGGTGTTGTTTTTGTGGAATTGGGGATTGAACCCAGGGATTTTATATTACTGAGTGAACGCTGAATTTTCTTTCCTTCTCTTTCAGTCTCTCAAGTCATTGAGGGTTATTGGCATGTGCCAGTATACCTGGCATGTGCATGTGTTTTTATGATGAGTTGTTGAGCAATATGTTCAAAGATGCAAACAGATAGCAAAACCATGAAGTGTAAAGAAAAAAACGGAATAATAAACTACAAATTAAGGCAGGAGAGAATAAAATGGGAGTTAGGTAGGACTGGAAAATGTCATACAGGTGAATTCATAGGAATTGATGTAACATTCTTGTAATATGTGATGCACTGATTTTTGTTGTCTTTAAAAAATCAAAAAAAAATTATTGTTATTAGAGATTGAACCCAGTGGTATTTAGCAACTGAGCCACATATTCAGCCATTTTGATTTTTTATTTTGAGACAAGGTCTTGCTTAGTTGCTTAGGACCTTGTTCAATTACTGGGCTGTCCTTGAACTTGGGATCCTCCTGCCTTAGCCTCCTGAGCACCTGGGATTGCAGGCACGCACCACTACACCCTGCAGTTGTCCTTTTTGGATGCCTTTATGTATACTTGATAATGCATATATGGTTTTTTAGTATTTAACTGAAATAAAACCACAAGCTCTATCAGCTTGTTTGGGGTGGATGGTTTTCTTCAAGAATTAGTGATACTTGTCTGAGGATGTGGCTCAAGTGGTAGTGCGCTCGCCTGGCATGCGTACGACCTGGGTTCAATCCTCAACACCACATACAAATAAAGATGTTGTGTCTGCCAAAAACTAAAAAAATAAATATTAAAATTCATTCTCTTTCTCAAAAAAAAAAGAATTAGTGATATCTGGTGCAGTAGTGTGTGTCTATAATCCGAGAGACTCAGGAGGCTGAAACTTACTGAGACCTAAGCAACTTAGTGAGACTCTGTCTCAAAAAAATATATATTAAAAAGACTGGGGATGTGGCTCAGTGGCTGAGAAGCCCTGTGTTCTATTCCTGGCACCCCACCCCACCCCATCCCACACCAAAAATGTTGATATTTGGAGGAAACAGTTAACAACTTTAATAGCAGTTGCTATCTTTCAGAATGACTTCTTCCTCCATCCTTGAGAAAAATTTTCATTGTGGAATTTAAAGAGACTTGAGTGATTCCTATTCTTTAGCTATTGGTAACTCTAGGAGCCCTTTCATTGGGAATGTGAGAAGTTTATGAAAGTACAGCCTTTTGGTCATGTTTGGCTGGTTATTACATGAGGAGTAAAGTTTTTTGTATGCTTTTGGTATTCTATTCTGCTTTATTAATATATTTCTCCATTTTTTTTCTTTCAGACAGAAAATTTGTTGTGGGATTATCTATAAAGGCCGTTTTGGAGAAGTCCTCATTGACACACATCTATTCAAGCCTTGCTGCAGCAATAAGAAGACAGCTGCAGAGAAGCCAGAGGAGCAGGGGCCCGAACCTCTGCCCATCTCCACTCAGGAGTGGTGACTGAGGTTTATGTAGAAGGGGAACAAAAATGATTTAAATTTTGAAAAGACCACAAAGCAACAAACTGACCTTACTATTTTTAACTTGGATACCTGCTATTCTGCCAAAAGACAATTTTCTAGAATAGTTTTGAATGGGTTATTTTTTCCTCCAGTCCCATAAACTTTGAAGCCAGTGTCTAGCTTACTAAAAGAAAAAAGAAGTGTACATAATATTTAAGATGCTGAGTATTTCATAGGAAAGCTGAATGCTGCTGTAAAGTGCTCTTTAAGTCTTTTTTTTTTTTAATAATCCCCTTCTAATGAATTAAATTAGGGGAATTTCAGGGGACACAGATGGGATTTGTTGTATGATAAACCATATGTAGTTTTTAATCTTTCTATATTGAGAAGCAGTGGTTGGGGCATTTTTTAAAGATGGCTGGCTACACTTGTTTTCCCTCATGTTAGTAGATTTGTCATAACTCAATAACATGTCTTGCCCCTAGAGGTAGTTGTTAATAATTTTGATATAATTGAGTCTCTCCAACTTTCTGATGAATCAAACCTGTACTACTGATGATTATTAAGCAGGACAGACTGAGCTTTTTGGTGCAAATACCTTGACGGAGGAAGTAATTTCTAATTATATAGAGAGAAGCTTGACTGTATGTGTTGCATCCTGTGTCACCTTCCTTCATATTAATATTTGTTAAAGATTTTAATTTATGTGAAACTTTTCAAGCAGAATGAAATCTCCTCTTGGAGAAGAGGTGAGTAGGTGGGATAGATGAGATCTTATATGAATAGTACCAAAGCATTACCACACCGTGGAAAACACACTCTTAAAAATGTTAAACTATGTGCAAGTCTTCAGGATGGCACAAAGAAAAGGTTAATGCTTCTTGGGCACGTTGCTTGTCGGGCTTGCCCGAGTGTGTAAATAATTGACTTTATTTGTGTTACATGACTGGTGACTTCATTGAAATCTTCACAATTCAGTTTTAGCTCTGGATTACTTCAGTTGACCTTTGTGAAGGTTCTATCTGCATAGAGTAGGTGTTTGACTTGTTTTAACCTGTTGGGGTTTTTGGGTTTTTTTTCACTATTTAAAAGTAAAATTTACTAAGAAGAAAGGTGGGTTCATGCTAAGGGGGTTAGTGTTGGTTTGGCTTCTTCTATAGTCAGGCTTTCTGAACATTGAGATAATGCTGAAACTGGAGCTTTTAATTCTAAAATCCTTATTAAAAGCCTCTTATTGAACCCAAACCAAAGTATTCTTATTGCTTCTTTTCTAAAAATTCAGGAAAAAAATAGCACCAGTTCAAACTTTCCATACATGAGGGAGGCAAATATTTGCCTGCCTTGTAATAACATGACTCAGTGCTTATTTTTAAAACTGGATTATAAAAATTGGATAGCATCACAGTAAGGAGTGAGCCACTTTTTATGGGTACCCTATAGTTTTA